TGTAAGCCGCCCAGAGTCCCCCATTGTGGGGAGATGGGCGGGGACAAATCAAATAAATAAAATAAATAAATAAGTCCCCTTCATTCAGCACCGTTAACTTTGAATGGTCGCTGAATGAGTGGTCATTCAACAAGGACTACCTGTAAAGTTAGTTGGCAGGTTTGTAATACTTTTTTATTGCATTATCCATTAAGAATGAAATTGACATTTCTTTCTAGATTCACATTAGTCCTTGGTGAAATATTAACTTTGCCTTGTGCACCCCAAATACAAAGTTAGAAATTATCAACAATATTTTACAGAATTAATATTTTCTAGTAGTTTAAACAATGCGTTCCATTAAACTTCCATCTCATCTTGGAGCATATATAAAAGTGTCAGAGTATAGTGGCCTTCACTTGAATTAAAAAGTATAATAGAAAGCGTCAAATTATTCTGTCACCAAAGAATTTCACAGCACTGGTGAAACCACAAAGAAATTCTGTTCTGTGCATTTTTTTTCTTTTGCATTATCTGAATATATAAATAGAAAATCTAATCTGTGATTATGTCTAAGGCAGTAAGAATAAATTTAGTTAATGATGTGAGTTGCAAGTTAAATTAATAATAATAGGTTGTTGCAATGGCTTAATTGATGGATCAGCATTTGTTATTTCTGGGTGGGAGAAAAAACATGTTTTGAAGCATCTCAACATAGAAAACATTTGAAGATACAGCAGGGATATTGAAAAGGGTAAAAAAATGTTCTATTTTATGTAGTATGCAGGTTGAACTAAACCCATTTTACTGAAATAATTACAGTTTTTAAAAATGGCATTTACTTGTCTATAGTTGTGCCTCTCGAGTGGACAGTTCATTATATGAAAAAAGTGTGCATTCCAGTTGCTATAATAAGTAAAGCATTGGATTTGGAAATAGGCAGCCCAAATCTTGGTATTTAGTCGGCTGTAAATTTTAGAAAGATTTGTGATAAATTACTATATCTTTAGTCACTTCACAGAGGGAATTAACTTAAGGGAGAAAGAGCAGAAAAATACTATATTTCTATGAACTTGAGCAGTACTGAGTGGTCGTATGTTTTGTGTTTCAGCGATGTGCATACTGCAAGCACCTTGGAGCCACTATCAAATGCTGTGAAGAGAAATGTACCCACATATATCATTACCCATGTGCTGCTGGAGCAGGCACATTTCAGGATTTTAATAACTTTTCCCTTCTTTGCCCAGATCACATTGACCAGGCTCCGCAAAGATGTAAGTAGCAGTAGTAAATAATGTATATTCCGAAAATATGTAACACAATCTCCTAATCAAATATTTGTTTAGTTATTTCAAATCTCTATGGATTTGTGTGGGTATTATTTGACTAGATTGGTTCGGCTCCCTGGCTGTTGTTTTATATTGTCTTATTGTATTGTTTTTTAAATGTTGTAACCTATTGTGAGATGGGCATCTATATCAATTGAAGAAATAAATAAAACAAAAACAAAAAAGGAATTGGGGGAGATGGATTCTGCCCAGTTTTACTCAGCTTGTAGCCTTTTGTAAGTGATGTAATAAAGAATTATAGGCAGGGAGATGGCACAAAATTAGTTTCCCCTCTTTCCTATCCAGTAGCAGTTCAGTTTAAATATTGAGAAATGACAGGAGGAAGTCAGACTGCCTTATTATCAGCTAATTTAAGATCACTTTGTCCTGCTCTCTCATGTTATGGCATCTTTCTTGAAATGTAAATGGCTGTTCCTGCTATGCTGTTTTTAAGTAATGGCAATGATTTTACTAACACCTGTTTTAATTTTAAAGAATGTGATCTGTGTATAGTAGCACAGACTCATATGAACATTAAATATTTTATTTTTTGTGTACATTCTTTCACAATGTTGCCTGCATAATCCATATGTAACACTTGGATAAAATTTATAAAATTTAAAGGTATATCTACCTACTCAATTTTTTTGAAGTGAATTAAAGATTGTTTCCCTATAAAATAACACAGAATTCATCTATTAATTTGTAGCCAAGGAAGAAGCTAACTGTGCAGTGTGCGACAGCCCCGGTGACCTATTAGATCAACTTTTTTGTACAACCTGTGGCCAGCATTACCATGGGATGTGCCTGGATATACAAGTGACACCTATCAAACGGGCAGGTTGGCAGTGCCCTGATTGCAAAGTGTGCCAGAACTGCAAGTAAGCAAAACTGGAATATAAAGCGCAAATGGATTGGTGCCCCATTTTAAATTATCGTGTACAGGTAGTCCTTGCTTAGTGACCACAATTGGGACTGGTGACTCCTCTGCTAAGTGCCATGGTCACTAAGCAGAAAATCACGTGATTGTGCCAGACTTCCATTTTGGTCATTAAGTGAATCACCCCGGTCATTAAACAAAACATCACATGACCATGACTTACAATTTTATTTCCATGTTCTCCATTAACTCTGCTAGTCGCAAACCAGTTGGGAAGTGCACAAATGGCGATCATATGATCGTGGGACGCTGCAACAGTCATAAATGCGAGGATTAGTTGTAAAGCTTTTTTATTTACACCATCATAACTTTGAACAGTCGCTAAACAAGGCAGTTGGTAAGCGAGGTCTACCTGCAGTGTTATCAAGAGATGAAGTAAAACCTATGGAATTTTTTCTGTTGTGTGCATTAGAGGATAGGTGGTTGAGGATAGGATGTTATCAAGAAATGGCATTTGCTTTCTACACTACATAACCCAAACAGGTTTGCTTCTAGAAGTCTGGATTCTTCCACCATATTTACTTTTCTTTGATGGTTTCTCTTCTAACATAGTCTGTTTTTCTCCAGATGTGGTCTATGATCTATGAAAATGGTTAAAATAATCTATTGGGAATGTTTCTCATTAGTGTTAAAAATCCACAATAGACTGTGCATTCTGTTTGTTTTACAGACCACAGTGCAACGAAAGTGCTAGCATAGTTCTAGATAAAATGCTGAACCTAACGTAAAACAAAATGCATCCCTAAGTTTTAACACTTCCACTTCTGTGTTTGTTCCTCACAGTGTCCATGTCAGTTTCAGAATCAATGCAAATGCTGTGTAATACTCCACAATTTCTTTAACCACCATTGATTTTGTTGTTACTTCTTTAATCCTGTTTCATATCATTAGATTCTGAGGATGCCTAATAACAACCTAAAATTGCTGTATTTATTCCTTAATATTTGTGAGGCCATATACACATGCATCATAAATCAGGGATGCCAGTGAGTGGGCTTATAGGGAGGCGGTGAAGGGCTTGGTGGAGTGGTGTAATAAAAACAACTTGGTCTTAAATGTGGAAAAAAACTAAGGAGATTATTACAGATTTCAGGAAGAACCAGTGTAGTCACACTCTACTTTTTATTAATAATATAGCTGTGGAGTCAGTCAGTAGCATTAGATTCCTAGGGGTGCAGCTAACGAATAGTCTGACCTGGTCCCTTAACACCGCATTTTTGGTCAAACGAGCACAGCAACATTTACATTTTTTGCGCCGGATGAGGAAAGTACATCTCCCATCTTCCATTCTCCTTACTTTCTATAGAGGCACTGTAGAGAGTGTACTTACTAATTGTATTTCCATCTGGTTTGGAGGCTGTAGTGCCTCAGACAGAATGTCTGTGCAGAGGGTAGTAAGGGCAGCAGAGAAGATAATTGGGATCTCTCTGCCTCTCATCCAAGATGTAGCATATGCGCGCTGTCTGTCTAGAGCTCGAAAGTTCGTCAGAGACGCCTCCCATCCTCATCATGGCCTGATTTCTTTGTTACCCTCTGGGAAGAGGTTTCGCTGTATCTGATGTAGAACAGCCAGATTGGGAAATAGTTTTGTTCCCCAGGCTATTAGATTCTTGAATGTTTAATATGTTAATGC